CGCCGCTCCTCCATGGTCATGGAATCCCGGAAAGCGTGTCGCCCCGCCTCCGCCATGGGGGACCAGAACGGCGCCTTCTCCCCCGAAGACAAGAAAGGAAGAAAGCTGCGCTGGTCCGCCTCGGAAGGAGAGAGAACAAGGTGCCCCAAGGAAGACTGGGATGCGCGGTCCTGAAGGGTGGCGCTGACGCAACTTTTCGAACCCGCACGGCTCTCGAGTCGCCCGGACAAACTAGCCGATTTGCCGCATCGGTTGTCCGCTGTTGCCGCGCGTCGCCTCTCCTGCAGCAAGGCCTTCGCCAGGTCATGAAAGGACTCATTCAGGTCTCTCGTGAGGCTCAGGCTGGAGCTGGCGACGAGCCGCGCGGCATGCTGTTTTGCGGCATGTCGTTTTGCGGCATCCGACTCCAACAGACGACTCAATTCCTCGCGTACACTCGCCTCATCACCCTCAAGAATCCGAGCCACCTCTCCCGGAGTGGCCACGCCACTCAGCTGCAGCTGCCCCAGCTGGTGCGCCAGCACACCCATGCTCGAGAGTTCTTCGTCCCCTGCAAACAGTAAAGACGCCAGAGACGCTAACCCCTGGGGTTGCTGGAGTGCAGTGGGAAGCGGCGTCGCATTTTCGGCACCTCCAAAAGGGAGCATCCCCTCGGAAGGCATCTCGTGCCGTACGGCCCACTGCGTGCCCCTCTCGTTCTCCATCCAACGCGTCATGAGGGTCTCGTACACGCCGGGTTCAAGCCCGACTGCCCGTGCCCCAGCTAACATCCCCTTACGTGAATCCGCCAACTTCCACCATGCGGAGGCACGTACACGCGCACCACACAACATCCGCGCAAGCCTCTTGGCCCTACCTGCCTTTTTCCAACCCGATCTCAGGGCAGCATAGAGGCCTCGGTCGTGGTTTGGCACACCCACAAGGCGCCGCATAAACACGGCATCCGCCTCACCCACACCCCCGGCTGCTGCTGCGGCACCCCCTCCGGCACTACTGCCCGGCACTGGGGGCAACTCGCCCGAGAAAGTCAACGCAAACTCCGGCAGGTGAACTGCCTTTCTGAGTCCAATATTCACCTTTTGACCCACACCGCGTCCCGTCAGCGCAGGGGGGAACTCGCCCATGTTGCCTTTCCCCACGCCGCCAGAGTTCTGTGGCCGTTCGAGGAGCCCCCGCAGCGGGCCTTCCTGTACCAGTGAACGCATCCGCTCAATGTCCTCCCCGGCATTGACATCGAGAGGGACTGTCCGGGAGGCAACACCCCTCAGACGCCGAATACTAACCAGCGGCACGACGCTGGTGCCCTCAGTGGCCGCCGCCGCTGCCGCCGCGTCGTCGTCGTCGTCGTCGCAGACCCCCGCGCGGCCTCCGTCCTTGTGAGAGGAGCTTCCAATGGAGGGCGAAGCAGCTGTTGCACTGGTACCTGCTGCCGCCGCCGCTGCCGACCAGCGCGACAACTCCGCCTCTGACTGGCGAATGCGAAGCTGCTGCTCAATCAACAGGCGCGCACGCCGTATAGTCTCCTTTTTGATTCTCTCCAAGTCCGGGCGAGACCGAAGCGCGCGCCCCGACGGATGCCCCCTTTCCCCGCCGCTCGTACCAAAAGTGTCTGGCGCGGCGCCACACCCTGCCGCCGCATCCACCCCGTACGGCGTGGCACGAGGATCTGCGAAGTGGGTCGCCAGCCAAGATCTCCCTGTGTTCACGGAGTGCATCCGCCTCGCGCAGTTCTTTATAGCCTCCACGTCCACACACATCGCCGGCTCGGACTTGTGACCAATCGGAAACCGCTCCATCGTACTGACGGCCACCCTATCGAGCTCCCGCTCGCTGAGCGGGCGGCTCTGCGTTGTGTTTGCATCCTTTGCTTGGCGCATTCGCACGTTGTGCCGCACTCAGTGGCCTAAGCACCAGCAGTAGCGAAGAACTGAAAAGGGGATGAAGCGGCATGCAGACGGCTGCACGAAAGGAGGACGCAGCAACAAAGGGGACAGAGCACACATTGGCCCAATTTCTCTTTCTCCATCTCCGTGTCGCGGCAACTTCCTATTCCTCTCATTCCTCGTTCACGCCCCGCCCGCCCAAGCGCAGGTGTCGGCACGCCCCGCGTGAGCACACCCACGCATGCGTTCCCATGGCCCTCACAAATGCCCGCAAGACCACGAGAAGCAAAACAAAACAAAAAAGGCAGGTAATAACAATACTAATTTCACCTTCAGCTGCTCTCACACGCCACCCAGCCCCGCGAGCTGCTTTCCTTCCCACACACACACCGGCTGTGCGCCTCCGTTCACCGCGCCGCCACGCACCAGCAGCCCTCGCCCGCCCGTCGGTGCCGTGCAGGCGCACGCGGAGCATAAGGACACCCACTAACGAAGCATCACTGCACCCTCAATAGGGCGCAAGGGCCCCCCACGCACAGAGACGCCCGGAAAGACACAGCAACATGAGAAACAAAAACACAGCCGAGCCCGTTGCCTCAGGCCCGGGCGAGACTCAGCCCGCCGTCCACCTTCAGCGTTGTGCCGGTGATGTACGTTGCGTCCTTCGATACTAGGAAGGCGACGGCATCCGCGATTTCGGCGGCGGAGGCCTCGCGCTGGCCGAGTGGCACATTCCGGCGATACTCTTCCTGCAGCGCCTGCGACAATGTGGGGGGGAGAAGACCCAACCCCGGCGCCACCGCATTGACACGGATGCGGCGCGGCGCCAGTTCCAGCGCCGCCGCCTTCGTGAGTCCGTCAAGCATGTGCTTCGCCATCGTGTAGACAGAAAAGCCCGGGAGCGGGAGATCGGCCATGGAGTCGCAGAGGTTCACCACCGACAGGTTGCGATCCCCCAACCCGCTCCCCTCAGCCTGCCGGCGGGCAAACGCCCGAATCAAAAAAAGCGGCGCAATGGCGTTTGCGCCAAGCAGCTCAGCGACCTGCGCATCAATCGGCTTGGCGTCAGCGGCGTCGCCAGTGCCGTCTGCGGGAAGCAACGGGGTCGGGTAATACGCGGAGGCGTTGTTGACCAGCACGTCGCATCGGCCAAAGGCACGGAAGGAGCAGTCGATGATGCCCTCGCAGCAGTCGAGGAGAGAGTCGCTGAGGCCAAGGTCCCCCTTGCACGGCACGGCGGACCCGGCACGAGAGGCATTAAGTTCCGTAACGAGACGCTGCGCCGCCCCTACGGAGTGACGGTAGTGCACGACGACTCGGAATCCCTGCCGGTGCAGCCGCAAGGCAATACCGCGGCCGATGCGCTGCGCTGCTCCGGTAACAACAGCCGCGGGAAACTTCGCATTTTCAACTGGCACTCCCGCCATTCCACCCTCTCCAG